GGCTTTTAAAATGGTGTAAAAGCGTACGGGGGGGTATAGGTGTAGGTTGGGAAATGACCCTTCCTTGCTGCTAGACCCTGAACCAACATAAGTGGAGTTTTCGACGTGCCAAACGTCTTCGGCGCGCTGCTAGAAGCTGGAGAGAGTTCTCTGAAGAGACCGTGGCAAAAGAAGGATATCGAGTTTGCCCTTGTGTGGGTTGCAGCTGTGAGCTTTAGCTGTACCGGGCTACCACTGAAGTTGGTAGTGGAGTGCGATCAGCGCTCAGTTTTCCATAACCGATGAGAAAAACTATGTTCAGAAGGTCATTAAGGCCTGCTGAAATCAGGTGATTGACCTGGTGTCTTGAAAAATCGGAGATATTTAGAACGCCTTCAGAAAAGTCTCAGTGGGTACACGCAGGCGGGCTCGATCCCCCGGGTGTCTTTCCATGCGTCGCCCCTGAACTACAGTTTGTTAATGCGGTGTGTCTTGAACAGAAGACAACAAGCGATGAAGAATCGAAAAGAGCAAGGGCTGCCGTGGTAGGCCTTGGAACACTCGTGCCCGGTTGTCACCGAGGCTGACAACGATGGACTCCAGCCTCTACATGTGGCCGCTGCGGGAGAGCAGTGCGCACAGCAAATTGACATATACAACCTCCTCTCAATGTTCGCTGCCGTCTTGTCTGTCCACACGATCACCCGAGGCATCTGGAATGCTGCCGACACCTTCTAGCTGCACGGGCAGATCCGCGTGTCCCAGACGCGCCAGAGGCCAAGGGAAGCACAAGGATCAACACGAGCTAATCGATTCATATCTTTGTGTTAGGCCGCGGTCTCGCCCAGGTATGGTGGCATGAGTGCGCAGATGCATGCCCTGTCAAAGGTCAGTTGTCACGTTGGCTCCGCTGCTTACAATGAGCCTCCAGTTTCGCGCCAGGAGGGTGATGAAGGTACTGCTCTGCGCGCGCTGCTGGGAGAGCTGGATGCTTGGCGAGTGCACGGGCCAGTCCGTCCTAAATGTTCCTAAATCTTCCTAAGCCTAAGCCTGCGCCTTCGTCTCACCTCTTCTCTCGCGGTCTCTGCGAGGCCCAATCTGAGCCTTTTCGCGGCCTGGGAGGATCCCTTGGCCATGGCCAGGCGCGCCCTCCGCGCCCTCCCCAAACCTGGGCTGAGACCTCTCTGAGCTCAGTTTCTTCCTCTGCGTTTTTAAGTTGCCGGCCCTTGCCCTCTCGGCTTCATGACCAGTCACTGAGCTTGCCGGGATCGGGAAACCATTTCCTTGCACGAGGCACTTGGCTGATGCAACCGAGGACATGCTGTCGGGATGTCAACACAGCAAGCCGAATAAGATAGCCATGGACTCTGCTGATGTCATGCAGCATGCAGAAGTTCCTCAGCATCGACCGCCAACAACAAAGCGTCAGATTGCAGTTAACGCGGTGCACAGCGAGAGAACTGAACAGCATTGAGACTGAGCATTTGAATGCGACTTAGTGAATGCTCTTCTGTCTCTGCTCTACCGTACCACGTGTTTGCAACGGCGGTGGGCACTTTCTTGAGTTGTGAGAGTTGAGCAGTTTGCAACCGCGGGCAAGAACCGGCCTTTGCTGTGCAGATTTGTGTTGCATTTTCACGGTTGAGTGGCATTGCAGGATCAGGCAAGACAGGTTGAGGAATGGCTGCAGAGGCGGGCCAGTCTTCCCACCTGGGCCACAGGTAAGAATTTTGTGCTGACTGTATTCAGGCCGCAGCTGCAGTGGAGGGTCGTGCCAGGAGGCTTCCTGCCACGGCTTCCTGCCACGGCTTAGGCTGTCTTGAATGCCATGAGGTGGGCACCAGTCGGAAGACGAGGTGGATTGACAGGCGGAGACGTTCGGATTTGCGCTGCGAAGTGTTGCTTATGGCCGCATCCTGCCAGTCCTACCAGGCCAAGTCGTGCGAGTTTGCCCGAGAAGCGAATTGCCACGGGACAAAAAAAACTCCGCACTTTGCCACACCTTCATTCGCAAGATTCGCAAGTGCATACCATGCAACTCGAAGCAGTTCAAACCTTGCTATCAGGTGGCCAATCGCCTTCGAGACATGCCACCGCACCTGCAGCAGGAGGTCATGCGGCGCGGCCCTTTGGATGTCAGGAGCCGGCCCAGTGAGCCAGACATTCGCAGAGTTTGTGTTCGACAGGAGCCCAACCTCCTCGCTGCTGAGTCGTATGAAGCAGGCGCAAGCACGCACTCGACTCGCTGGTGCAGTCGCCGCAATCCCGACGTTCTTGGAAGGCCCTCGAGGCGGATCGGTCCGGCTGCCTTCGAGGTCCCACTAGGGCTCTCAGAACCCACGTCTTCAAATCTGTCGAGTCTGTACAACTTGCACTGCATGTCTTGAATCTCACTTCAGCAGCATTTGGCAGAGAATGTCGACTCTTGATACTCCATCTTTTCTGCCCTTCTGGGTCTCCCAAAGGCATCATGAGGGAGGGGGTGGGCCGTTCTTGAGGGGAGGCCTCAAGCACGGTGGCGACACGGAGCGTTTTCGGTTGAGGTGCACGCTGGGAGGACCACCAGTCCTGACACCCACAATTTTGGTCTTTCTGCTCCCTCGAGAACCGGTCCCTGGCTCCGAAAATCTGGTGTTGGGACTGCTTCCCTCGGAGGACCGGTCCCAAGACCAAAAATTTGATGCTCCGACTGCTTCTCTTAGAAAAAACTTGGCTGCTCGTGTGTTACCTTTCTCTTGGAATTGCAAGTCACCTGTTTGCTGTCTTCCCTGTTGATTCTGCACCGTGTTTCCAATTTGGTGCAGAGGCTGTGATCCGGTTCTGATATGGCTGTGATGTGGCTGTGGTTCGGCTGTGATGACTCCTTGAGGGCGTCCGATTTCTGACGGGAGCTGTGTTAAATGTTCTGTTTTCTTGGAAATCGACATCAATGAAGCACGTTGGTGGGAGGGAGCTATGGTCATTGTTCAGTTCGTTCCGAACCGTGGCGGGTTTGTGTTGGCGTCGAAGTATGGCCCAGCAGCAGGGAGCAATGGGCATTTTCTCGTCTTTGCTTGTCTCGAACTTCCGTGGCTTGTGTGGGTCTCGAGAGGATAGTAGTGGTGGGTGGGTCATGGGCACTAATTTGGTTTGCTGTTTTGGAAATGCACTGGACAATAGTTTTCTCCTGTTGGAAACTCTGTGTCTGTCTGTGTGTGTGTGTGTGTGCATGTCTGCAGGAGGCAACTACAGGCAGTTTTCTTTCAGAATGACTTGCACACGGAGTCGCTCACCTCGTGATCCTAAGCAGAAATGACATAATGGACGCACGTAGCTCCGTATCTCTATGCATTCGCTCCAGACTGTTGCGCTTGCAGCTTCGTTCGGTTCGATTCGTGCCCCGCCCGCTCAGATTTACGAAAGGGCGGCTGAGAGGGATGCCACAGCGTCGCAGCCCGGTACAGCCCAAGTTTGCGGTCCTCAACAAGCCCAAGACAATGCCAACAACACGCCAGGAATCCCACAGCAAAGCCGCTGAGCCCATTGAACCGAAAAACTGCTACGGTACAGCCAAAACGAGCTCACGGGCAAGCGCTGCACCTTAGCGGCCGTAGCGAGGGAGCTCACTGAGAAAGATCGCAGCATCCCGCGGCATTGTGCGCCGCGGTGTCAAGACGATCCGAAGCTGCAGGCTAGAGCGCAGAAGCAACGACATCCTCGAGATATAAGCCCTCGAAGTGATGCATCGACCCCCCTGAGCTCCCAGGACACCAGTCACCGCTGGGCTCGCGCTGCCCAACTGTAAGGAAGTCGAAATGAAATGTCGAGCAGCGGTTCAAGCCGAGCAGAATCTATGCCGCTTCAAGCCACCGACCACATCCTCCAAGGTGGTTGTTTTTTCAAACATTTCTGAAAGTGTTAGGAGACCTGCTCGACATTTGCAAACCCTCCTCCGGAATATCGAGAGCTGAGAGGCTTTCAAAAGCTGTAAGAACAATCCTTTGAGATCGCCAGGTTGGACACTTGGGTAAAACGATGTAAAACGCGCAGAGAGGTTGTTATTCTTAGCTCTTTTTTTTTTTGTTTTGTTTTTTTTTTTGGTTTTTTGTTTTTTCAAGGTTTGAACTCCCCCAAACGATCGACAAGCTTTGAAGTATCGACAGGGTTTCAAGATGGGCTCCGAAGAGTGGTTTTCTCAAACAAGTTGCACGCAGCCATGGTTTCGCTTTTGTGGCCTCCTTAGGAGGTCGAGGCCCCCAAACCTCCCAGGGGCAAGGAGAGGTTCGTATTTCTGGGACTTTGGGGAACATTCGACTTTGGGAGCGGTGCACTGGAAAGCGCTGGGAATGGGACTGGTGAACCGGGTGTCAATGCATGCGACGTCATGCATATGCCATGATCGACAGGTGCCTTGTGCCCGGTTTTCGTGGGTCTGCAACAAAGGCTTTGAACAGGGTGTGTATCGTCAGCGTAGCGTGGCAAGACGATTTTAAAACCAAGAGAGCTGCATATGACGTTTAAGGGGTTAGGAGGTGGTGCTCCAGGGGAACGGCGACTGTGAGTAGCTTGAGAAGCGCAGTGCGGAGCTGGGATCAAGCTCAGCGCACGTCAGGTCGACACAACGGAGGGCAAGCTCCTTACAGGTTTACCCTCTTGTCTCGGTACCTTGGTGACTTCCGGAAACTTCTGGCTCTCAAGGATGCGACCGGTGAAGCAGTCTGCGAAAACAGCGATAGAGGCCTGATTTTACGTCACAGCGCCAACAAGACATGTATTGGATTGTCGACATCAAGCGCCCTCTGGCGCGCAACGCTGGCGCCGAAGAGGCTTGCTTGTTTGTTTAGACATCCTACGAGCCCCTGTCCGCCGTTGATCCAGCTTTGCAATGTGTCCGGATCGACATCAAGCTGCCCAGACGAGGGCGAACTCGTTGATACCTTTACGAGGCATTGATCAACGACTTCCACCTGCAACCGGAATGTGCCTGGATGTTACGCTCTCTGCCACCAGACAAGCCCACGACTCAGAATCTGAAACACCCTCAGAATCCACTTCAGTTCCCCGGCTACCTACCCAACCCTGAAACACCACCATTGCTTAGAGTCGTACCGCCGACCGTAAAGACATGCCTGCGCCCCTCAGCTCTTACACCGGATGGACTGGGAAAGAATCTTGAGACCTCAACCTGCCTCAAAATTGGAAGGAAACGGAAGGATTTGGTTCTTGGGGTTGTAGAGAGGTTCCTTTGACAGCTGCAAAGAAAAGGGCTCCTATGAGATGCTCAGACTCTCCCAGGCAGAAGCTGGCTGCAAGAATCGACCCTTCCGGTCAAGAAGATGCATCTGGGTGAGCCGCCACCTCGCACCGCTCGGACGCATGTCTGGAAAGTTTTTTTGAGTTGGGGGAGGTACGTGGCGGAGGAGCTCAAGAAGATCGTGTGAGCAGTGCTTGCAGTGTCGAGCCGAAGGAAGAAAGGGTGGTTGGAGGGTGGTTTTCGAGGAGCTGGACGGTTGAGGCTGAGGTTGTGAGAGACGGAGACGGAGACGGAGCCACAGCTCGGCCGCCGTAGCTTTGGCCCAAGAGAGGCCTTTCCTGTCGCAAGGGCACCCGGCCCACGCCCGCCGGCCCGCTGGCCCGTCCCCGAAATGCTCCGGAATGTGTGCTGATTCTGAAAGCTTTCCTAGTTAAACTCAAGATGCCGTGGCAGGCCTCGCATGGGGGATGCGGGCAGAGGCTCAGATGCACAGAGCAAGTCCCTTCCTTAAACCGTGGCTTCCCCACTCTCCTCCCGGCCCGGCTGAGGAATGGAGTTGGAGTGCACCATGGACGAGCAGGAGCCCTCAGAATACGATGGTCTTGGTTGTGGTGCTGTCGTGTTGTCGTGCTGTCGTGTTGTTTTGGTCGTGGTCGTTTTCGTGTTGTCGTGTTGTCCGGGTCGTGAGCCGTCTCCTCGCCGTCGTCGTCGTTGAGTTTGTTGCTACCTCCAATGACGCCGTGGAGGACGTCGTGGTGCTGGACACGGGGTCCGGCTTTCTGAAAGCCATCGCCTTATGTGGAAGAGTGGGAAAGACTTGATCCTCAACGGGGGGAGACAAACCCAAGCAGAGACGAACCCACTGCGACTTGTAGGTTGGCTTCTCCGGTGAAGATGCACCACGAGCAGTGCTCCCAACTGCAATGGCGACTGCCACGGTGGGACGGCTCAGAGTTTGCCATCCTTTCGTGATTTTGGATCAATCTGCTCCAGGCCGATGAATCCAGGGAAGACGAGGCTGCAGATGCTTCCTCAGCGGACAGGCCAAACTTGGGTTGCCTGAGCCGTTCCACGTGCCCAAGGTCACAGGAGATTCTGCAGCACAGAAAAAGAGCAACTTCGCCCACAATGGTAGGACGGAAGCAAAAGATGGCATCTGATGCCCCTTGAGGTCAAGTCTTCTACGGTGAGGAAGCCATCCTGCAGGTGGGGCACAGCACTCAGGGAAGTAGGCATCGCTTGCATGTCGCAGGAAAACGCGCAAATCACACGTCCGGTGCAGCGTGGCGAGATCCAGCTAACGCAGCCGGAGAAGGACAGGATGAACACAGCTCCACAGCAGAGTTTGCATGTCGGCGCACAACTTGAAACACCACGAAGTCCCAGTGGTACTCGGAATCCACGGAGGAAGCAATGGAAAACCTCCTCGAGCACGTGTTCAGAAACGTGCTGGGCGTTGAGCAAGAGGACACCCCGATCTGCAGATGCCTTGCAGACACCTGCAAGCAGCCGTGGAGGATTTGCCCTGCCTCATTGCGGACACCATGCCTCTTGGTCAGAGCGACTTGGAGAAATCGGCTATGTCGAAAGCGACAGCAGAGTGCGGACTGGGCCTCTTGCAGGTTCCTACGCCACACGCCAGTGGATAGCGGAGGCCACACAGGGACGACCTGCGGCCATGCGTGGTCCTCTTCTCTCGGATCCGCTTGGAGGTGATGTTCGAGAAGATCAAGGTAAAGTCCTTGGCCATCTTCAACACGGCAGTCCGGAACCCAAGAAAGCGGCAACACTGCCAGTGTCGAGCCGTCACAGCCCAGGCCCTAAGCTTGTTCTCTACGGGGCGTGTGGTCCTCAGATGAAAGGTCTTGGCTTGGGCGGTTGGGCTGCACCCCTCAGGCACCAGAGGACTGGTTCTGGAGAGTGGTGAGGGCATCACCCAGGCTCTGGAGCTGGTGTCCGAACTTTCCGAAAAGGGGGGGCGCTCTTCAGACTTGCTGCAGGCTGTTCCGGTTTTCGAGGGGTACGCGATACCTCACGCGATCTTCAAGATGAAGGCCGCACTCTCAGCGTTGCTCACCATCATCCGGACACATCCCGTGGCTGCTGTCAATGTTGTGAACGGGAGCCGGGGCGGCCTTGCAAGGAAACCGCAAACCAGCAGAACTTGCGTCTGATGTCCGCCGGCTTGGGTCTTCGGGTTCGGGTTAACTCTTTTAAGGTCGCTGGGCACGATATTACGCAACGCCTCCAGAGTATGATGGCTCTTCCCTCAGATGCTGGGCAAAGTGATAGGGGGAGGGGCATGCGGAGTCTCACCCACAATTTCCACGAAGGTGATGCTCCTTCTGCCTGAGGCTGAAGAGCTTGGGACAAAGCAGAGCCATCACACTATGCAGGCCATGAAGGAGAAAGTGCCTTGGAAGCGCCTAGCAGGGATCTACGACCGCTGCTGCATGCCGCGCTCTTTGTGAGTAGTTCCCAGGTCTGCTTCGTGGCACCCTCCGGGAGTGGTGGCATCCCGGCCGACGCGCCGCGCCCCCTCGCAACGCCTTCCAAGGCCCTGCCGGTGCGCGTCCAAGTCTGAGGCCCGACAGCGGGGACGAGGAAGCGAGGTCTTTCGAATTGCCGGATGGGCAGATCATCCAGGTGCTCTAAAGGGCCGAATGGCCGTTTTGCTTGAGGGAGCGTCTTTCGGCAGGTCAAGGAGAAAATCCGGACTGGGGCCACGGAGATCCTCTTTGGTGGTGAGGGGGAGTGGGACACTCAGCTGCCACTGCTGCTCTGTCTTGGCCCAGACCATGGAATTTACTCAGGGCATCCATGCAGAAGATCTGCTTGGATGCCATCAACACAGTGGATCTAGATTTCCGACAGGCGTCCAACTTCCGAAGGCTGAGACGCTTCGAATGTTGCGCCAACGCCAGGACCTGGTGAAGAGCGTGGTGGTCGCAGGCCTTTTGCAAATCCGAGCAAATCCCAAAACAAAAGCGTGCTCTGCGTGGCTCTTGGCAGCCGAGGCGGCACTTCGATGCTTTTGAACTTGGCGCCAAGGCTGAGGTCAGTCGCCCATCGCTATGTGCCCCTACCCTTTAAAAGGGCTTTCGAAAGATGTTCCACGGGTGTTCTTGTCGAAGGGACCAATCCTTTGTAGAACACGCAAGCCGCAAGCATGTTCCCGAGATCGGAGCTCAAGAGCACGCTGGCATCGGAGCTGTCCAAGACAGCCAGGATCCAAAGATAATTGCTAGAAAAGCAGGGAGAAAGGCAGGAATCAGGGCAGCTTCTCTAAGGTGGAGGTCATCAGTGACTCTCAACGCCGCTTCGCTGCCTGGATCGGCGGCTCCATGTTCGCGTCGCTGTCCACCTTTGACCAGGTGGCCATCACCAAACAGGACCGCTTGCTATGGAAAAGTAAAGAGACCGATAACATGCAGTACATGCAGATATCGTTTGGAGACTACGGTGGCGGCATCTGAAAGGTCTTGAAGAGTCTTGAAGTCTACGTGTCACCAAACGCATCAATAGAAGAAGTCCTCTGATCGCTCCTGCCGATGGCAGGGGGATCAGTGAATCAGGAAGTGCTGTTGAATAAGCTGCGCAGATACCACCAGTAGTAACGAAGCACAGCGCACTGTTTTATTTTACCTTGCCGGCTTCGATTCTGCTCTCTGGGTCTTCATCGTTTCGACGAGGAGTACGAAGAGGGGAAGTCCGACGTGCGCAACCTTGTGGCGCGGAAGACCTTCTGAGGCGTACGCAATGGGACCAAGCTAGCTCGTCCATGTCCTGATATTTCGGGGCCTGCTTTATTGGGCAGTGTCTTCAGCACTGCTGCACTTCAGCATGGATTCGTGTGGAGGTCCACGTTCTGTGCCATTGCTACAGGTGTGGAGGAGTCTCACCCGTCTACGACTGCGCGTGGCTCTCGGTCTGGGCTCAGAGCTTAGGGTCGGGCAGTTCCTGGTGGGCAGTCCAGGTCGGGCTGAAAATGGCGCCTGACTGCAGACGTTTCACTCGGCATGGACGAGAACGAAAAAGGGTTTGGGAAAGGATAGGAATCAGTCTTGGCAGAACTGGTTCCAAAGCTCAAGTACCAGAGCCACTGCTAAGCTGCTTTGGATCGCAGGCGGCCTTATTATACAGGAGAGCTGACAGTCGAAAGCTATCCCAAGAAGCATCGCTTCAAGGAATCGATTCAGGGGTTTAGCATCTCATGTCGTTTAGGATCGTCTTCAGCATAAAGCCTGCTTCCATGGGACATGCCATCGGAAAGATGGAGAATCTGATCTGCTGTGGGGAGCGCGGCTGCCCCACGGTGCAGGGTCAAACCGAGCAGCGCAGCGTGGCTTTCCAAAGGGTTGCTCATGAGAGCGGCAAGAGCCGTGAGTCACCGTGAGTTGTGGTGCAGTGACGCGCAGTGCGCCATTTAAGGTTTCTTCTGCGTGATCGAGCAGCACTCTGCGCATGGGCCGTTCGACATCGAAGACATCGAGGACCTTGGACACAGCCAGGCCGCGGGTAAAAGGGGTCGGGCCAGCGGAGCTGTCTGAGCTGTCTGCGTTTCATGTCGCAGTGTCGTGGTCCCGGGTGTCTTCTTCCGAGGAGAGGGCTGCTTCCCCGCGGCCGGACCTTGATCAACACGTCGCCGAGGCCTGGTGGCCTGTCAGGGCCTGTCCGGGCCCTTCGGACAAAGGCAACTTGGGCTTGCCAGTGTTGCCAGGCGCTGGGACCACTTCTGCCGAAGGCTCCCCCCCTTTCTGCCAAGATGCATCGACCTTCGCTCCGACGAGTGGCTGTGCCATGCTGTGCAGGATGAGCTGCCGCCAAAGATCTTCGGCCGACGCGGGGGCCCGGAGAGCATTGTGCCGGAGCACACAGCATTAGAGGCTTAGCGCGTTGCGTCAGGTGGAGACAAGGCTCCCCCATCTGTGATCACCGCATCACAGATGGTGATTTGAGAGAGGACCGGGCGGGGCGGTGCTGCGCTCTTCGCAGCTATGTCTTGCAGTCAGTCACGAGAGAGGCGCCATGTCTACACTACGATCCTTGAACCACTCCCACAAAGGTCTTATCCACGACATCCTGTCCACCGAACTTGAAAGAGAGACTCCCTCTGCAGTCAAAGTCTGCTTACAACCCGGTTAATCTTGCGGCTGGTCCAACCAACTGGAATAGCCACCGCTGCTTGATTTGCCAACATCCTCCGGTCTGTCTCGAACACAACAGTGTCCTGATACGAATGATTATCCTTGCTAGTACAATACATTACTTGACTTTCTTCGATGGGCACTACCATGATTCAGACGGGATGGGCCTTGGCTTCTTGCAGCGCCCGATTTTGCTTCCAGAAGGTGTTGAACTGTCCCCTTGTTGACACAGCTTTGGAGGTGCCCTACGTGCAATGTTTTTCATTTGGCAATGAATGCACAGCTGCATACTGCAGGCTTCCATTTGGCCTACGAAGCCCACGAACCTCCTGATTTGTCAGCGGTGAAGTTGGGTCTTGCCGACGCTCACGGGGAATATGAATCGGGGGAATCTTCTCGATGTGCGACTTCTGATCATGATCGATACTATACTGTATATACCATCATCCCACTGCCTATACCGTAGACCAGAACAAGCAGAATCCCACTCGTCTGACGCAAACTTCTCGAGCTGGAGCCGGGAGCATTGAGTTTGATCGTGCGCTTTTCAGCCTTCAAACATCTCTAAGACCCCTCTCCCTGAACCCTGTGTCTGCAAAGGCGTTCGCCCTACGAATGGAGAAGGCTTCTCTTGACTGCCAAAAGATCGCTCGCGCCACCAGGAGTGGTGAGATTCATCTTGGCTGGAATGCCCCTTCTTCCCCGTTTGTACTTCGGAAGCTCAGCCCACTCATCTACAGAACCTTTCATCTTGATTTCCCCAAATTGCCTACAAATGACACAAGTGTATCTTGGTGGCATGTCTCGGGCATCACCGCTAGCATGAGGTGGTTGAATCCGGTTCGTCCCGCGGCAAAAGACAACGTGCTTCACCGAGAACACCTTTTGAATCGTACTTAAAATCTCCTCACCCTCACTAAACCAGATACGACCCTTCACGGAATCGGATTCGTGCGCTTGGCCCGGCCCTACCAACAACTCTTCTATCAGTCGGGGCTAGCGGCTAGCTTCTGTCTCGCAACATCACCTGGCCACACTCCTGGCGATCCGCTGCTGCACTTTCATTTGTCGTGGTGCTGTGCCGCGCTGACTGGTTTGGGTTGCCTTTGACATTTGAGTGTCAATGTCTTGGTGTAGCTGACGGGACATGGTATGTGTATAGCTATAGTCTTGTTCCAGTGACGTGGTTGTTTCCCGGCGGAGGAGGAGGAGGCTTCCAATTCTCCGTCTGGTAATGTGTGATTCATTGCCGTGAGCATGCCATACTGGACTTCGCACATGTGTTCCCGGAAATTGTTGCGGCTGAAAAGATGAAGAGTTTACTGTGGGCCGGAACTCTCCAAGAAGTAGAAGCACATTTTGTGCGACTGATCGACGATTTCGCTGTAGAGAACATGTTCCCCTGCGCAGAGGAAGAAGACTTAGTTGACCGTGATGGCCAAATCTATGAAGAGCTCAGCAGTATAACCGGTGCGAGTTCAGGCGTTTACACGGTGAATGTTCATTGTGTGCCGAAGGGTGGGACTTTCCTCGCGACAGCTGCGGCAGCGGAAAAGCATTAGGGCAACGTGTGCCCCACATTGCTTAGTGGTATCCTCGCGCCACGTTCATCCATGTATTCATGCGCCGTCATGGCGCAGGGGCACCCGTATCTTCGGCTTGAAAGACATTCGGGAAACGACCTGCGTTCTTCGTTTTCCTTGTTTTGCGTATCTAGAGACTGCACCCGTGGGTCAAAGCCAGCAATCGCAGGAAGTGCCCGGCATGGCCTGCAGCAGCCAAAGTGACCGCCGCAAGCATGCCCACCTCGTGCAACGCAGAAAAGACGGCGTGATGCCAAGTCTTCAGGTGGGGTCAAGCTGAGTTCTCACGATGGCAAAACAAGAAAAGCCCCCCTCGAAGCGCTGGTTCAAGAAGTCGAAGGCTCCGGCTGCTGAGATATAAGCACCTTCAGGACCAGTCCATGATAGCCTTAGTAGCGGTTTGATTCCGTGGGTAAGGATTCAGTGTGTCAGCCTTTTTCAGAGAGAGAGAGAGAGAGAGACAGAAAAAGAGAGTGCGGTGCCATGGCTGGTCCTTCTCTTGATGGAGAAGTGGTTTGGCTGCCCATCTCAAACGCAGAAAAGGTTCTTTGCCTGAAAGTTGTGCCTGATTCGCCCCTACTGTCAACTGCTGCGCACGTTCTAGATACCTGCATGCAGCTAGAGACGACACGGAGTCGCATGGAAGCGATTGAAACAGATGTCACCGCTCAAGTCATGGCCGTCCTGCGTCATGCAGGCAAGTGGCCTGGCGAAACATGTGCTTCCATGATTGAGCTGGACGATACGAGGGCTGTAGGAATGGGGTCCAACATTAAGCACAGGAGGCGTGCCGCTTGGCTTGCGTTGGCCTTGGCCTACGTGGTCTCTGCAGGGCATCGGCGACATGTTAGCAACGAGCACCTAACCCAGACCGTGACAAGCTGTGGGCTGGCGAGCTTGGCTACAGATGCCTGGAACGCAGCACGGAAGCCCCTCAACCATCCCTCCGTGGAAGATGCTGCTCCCACCACCTGGGACGTCAGGGGCTCTGCAGGGCCTGTCGCGGGCTTTGCAGCCCCTGCCCCAAGGGCTCCACCCGGCAGCTCCAGCGAGCTGCAGCTTCGGGCCCGCCAGTTGGGTGCAGATGAGAGCGTCGTGCATGACCCATTCATGACCGTAGATGAGACTCTGGGATCTGTCCTTTGCGCAGCCTGCGGCAAGCACTTTACGCCAGAGCATGGGATGAATCGGAGGCACTTGAACTATCGAAAAAATGTCCAAGCAACCCTCATGTGGGTGCGGAGCGAACACAAGACCTGTTTGGGCCTACTCCAGGTGCAGGAAAACCAGGGGGCCCAGACCACTGGGCGAGCTGCGCCGGCCGTCCCAGCTCCCCAGCAGGACACCGAGAGTGCTTGGGGGGATGATTTTGAGGTCACCGGAGCGACCCACGTGCCGGCACAACCAGAGCCGGTGCACTCTTGGGAAGATCTTGCGGTCCCAGCTGCACAGGATTGCTCAAACATTATCCGGCACTGGCGCGATGTGCCGGTCCCACCCACGCCGACCCTAGAAGACAACTACGACTTTGCCATGCAGCTCTATTCGAACTATGTGCGGAACGCTGGTCGCAAGCATTCTTTCAAGGATCCGCTCGGTGTTGAGGAAGTTTGAGCGACGTGTCAGCACCCGTTGAAACCGGCCAATGTTTGCCTGCTGCGGCTTCTGCCGGTTGGCTCCATGCTGCAACATGTTGTGAGAAGCGAATCGATTGCAGCCGACAGGCTCATACTAGGTGACGCTGTTTTCAAGTGCCATGCACAGACAACCGCAGGATCTAACCGTCTTGAACACCTTGATCGTTGGAGTCCATTCACAGCCGACGACCAGCTCGGAAGGAGCCCAAAAGGAAATTGGAAACACGGCATTCGCCTCTTCGGAGTTATGCAGTCGTTTCAACGTGGTCAGGGTGCAGCCTGACTACCCGCCATGCCGCGAGCAGATGTGGCGAACCTCTCGCTACTTGGCCGAGCTGTTTGAAACTTACCCTCCAATTCTAGCAGGTAGCGTTGCCTTCAAGCTCAGGCTGCGCCAAATCAGCGATGAGCTGCTGCCGAGGCCACGCACGAAGTCACTAAGTTTGGCAAAATGCCGAAAGAGTATTTTCTTCTCACATGCTCAGGGACTCTGCTGAGATCCAGGCAGTGTGCGGTGCTTGGAGCTTCCTCTCGTCCCACGGCATGCCACGCATGAACCATTGGCCAGTGAGATCAAGACAAAACACGCAACAAGAGCAAGAAGAGCTGTTGCGAGCACGGGGCATCCGCAGAGGAGGCCTACAGATCGTGCTGCGGACGGCTTGTTGTTGGAGAGTCAGAGGGAACTCACCGAGTTCCACTGAGGGAGGGAACTCACCGGATCCCAGATCGATCGGCAAGTCGAGTCGCCAGACCTTGGAGGATCTCGCGAAGACTTGTTGAGACTCCCACCTGACTCCCAGCTCTTCGCATGTCACGGTATTTCCAAGGATTGAAGTTCCAGACCATATATTTCATCCACTGGTCTGTGCTGGATGCCCATGTCACGACACAGGTCCAAGAGATGCTCCACTATAAACAGAAACCCAGATACCCGCGAGGACCTTGAAAACTGAAAAGCAGCCAAAGGCCAAGGCTAAGACCAAGCTGATTCCTTTGTTCACTTAGGTTCCCTTCAGTTTGGTTCTCCATCATTCTATTTTCTTTCACCGCTCAACCCGAAACCCTGAACTTTGAATCAAGACCTCGCCTAGGGCAGCCGAAGCGCTCTCCCGCGGCAAGCGGGCGCTGCATCTGACGGAGGCCCGCGTTGCTGCCCGACTTGTCGGAACTTAGCCTAAACAGCCCGTCAGCCCGAAGCAAGCACGAATCTAAGGGCTTTAGGAGGGACCCTTAATAGGGACCCTTGTAGGTTATTTGGGTTAATATGGAGACTACCTGGCTATAAGGGGTATATAAGGACTATACAATGGTTCTTTAAGGTAGTGGGATTAAGGGTCCCTATTAGGGGTCCCTCCTAAAGTCCTTAGAACGAAAGACCAGGCTCGCACAATGCGCGAGCCCATGCCCGTAACAGATCGTACTCCCTGACCGCCTGGCATCAGACTCACGACATGCACAAGCTGCACAAGTGTGTGGGTCCCAGGACTTCGCACGGGAGCACTACAAAGACGAGGCTGCCTTGTCGCAGCTCTACGAGGCTTCACGGCTGCTTCACGGCTCAGTATCGCGGCTTTCGGAGTGACCCGGGCCCAGGTTGTTGACCGGCTGCGAGTCGCTGCGAAGGACCGTTGCGGAGCTGGGCTGTGCGGCTGTGATGCGGCGGTATCTGCAGAGGATGTGCAGAACTACGTTGACCGGTCTCTGGTTCTCACCCATGCCTTCGTGCCAGTCATCGAGGTGCAGCTTTTCTGTCTTCGGTCGATGCGATTGCACGTTCTTCTTGCGCCGCTGCCTCTCAGAGCACGTATCCTTGCCACGGCGGCAACCAAGCGGTTTCGACGCGAACTGAGACTCGAGGAGAATCTCTGCTGTTGTGCGGTCTGCACAGCTCCGAGGCTGGCACACAGCTTGCACCTGTCCCTTGGTCGGGTGAAGGCTCTTCTCAGCTTCTGCTTCCCGGCATCACAACTTGTGTTCTTGTAGGAGGCAGTGGGTGGAGGAGGTGCTCACGGATCAGGCCCTGTTTCCTGAAAGCGATTCGGAATCTACGGTGAACAACAACCTGAGCTTAGCAGGTGGGCTGCCGCCGAGCCCTGGAGAGCCCTGGCTGCAGGGCAGGAGACAGAACGCGACGACCGGCAGATAAATGTCGTGAGCTGAGGCGGCGGATTTGTTGGCTGATACCGAACGAACCATTGGGCGGCAATCCCAGCAGACGACGATGGGCCGCGTCATGGAGCAGCGAGAGCAGAGCAGCGCGCGAGGTCTGTGACTGGCAACACACCGGACGGCCAGCGGCTCAGCTTTCCACGTGCTGTGACTTCCATTTCATGAGGGTGCGTGCCAGGTCTGCAGCCCATACTGGAGGAGTCCTCGCAAGCCTCGTGTATTATGATCTTCTGGTGCGCCTATGTGAGGAGAAGGACGACCAGCCGGAGGAGAACGTTGTCATGGCCAGCGTGCCGCTAGCAAGTCTTGCGGCATGCAGGTGTGCTGCAAGTGCGTTCCGGTGCCGAGTGACGGACGTGCCGTCCACTTGCATCAGCTGCGCAGAACTTGCAGGCTGCAGTTCCACTGCTGGCGGTGGCGGCAGGAAGATGCCAGACGAGGCTGGTAGCCTCAATACCAACCACTCTTGATCGTCGTGCTGTGAGCCGAGGTTCACTACACGGCTTCTTGTGAGAGTGTATGCGCAGTGCGAGTTGGTGCCGCCATGCTGTGGACCTCAGACAAGGCGTATTGCTGGTATACTTCTCTTTAGCATCGCTAAAATCGCGTGCGCACTGGAAGCCGCTTCGTCGTGTTGAAAATGCAAAGCTGTGGTGCAGAGTGGATGTCCCGACGTCCGATCGTGGCACTAGTGCAGGATGAATCCGAGGCTTCTGGCTCATCAGAGCGAGTCTTTCGAAAAGAAAGGGGGCCAAACCAAAGCTGGGAGAGCTATAATAGCTGCATAGACTTGGAGGCTTGCTCCCATAGGGAGTTTGCTCGAAGTGGTTTGCTAAGCTCGCCGTCGCCCACCATGATGGGAATGTGGCTCAGCTAAAGTACTACCTTGGCTGTGTGGCTATCGGCCTGGCGAGTGCGAGGTGGGGCCCGGGCGGTCCAGGCGGTCCCGGCGGGCATTGCCTGGGAGTCGCGTGCTCATCCGCTCGCGGCGGCAGTCCCATAGCAACCGCCCGAGTCGAGGCGCCGATGGGAGCGCCTCAGGGCCTCCCTGGAATGATGTGCTCACCCCAGCTGGAGCGATGAGACATCGGGCCTTCTTAAAGTTCAGCATGAGACAGCGATTTGCCCGGAGGCCCTGTGCTGGCTGCGGCGCCGCAGCCTCACCCGCAGTCCCAGGCGAGTTTCCCGATTGACTTTGGCTTTGCAACTCAAGATGCCAACAGGAGCAGGAATGTCGCTGCCAGCTATCAATGAAGGAGTCCATTACTGGGCTGGGTCCGAGAACCAAATCGGTGGTTACACGGAATGCTATGCTTGCTTGGCTTCGCGTAGCTGGAGGACAGCGCCACTACATGGGACAGATTGTGATGGGGATGAAGCCGGCAGCCCGGTAGCGGCTGTGGCGGCAGTGGCAGCTGCACGAAGTAGCACCAAGCAACACGATGCTAAACCCCATTGGAGGCTTAAAGCGGCTCTTGATGCTGTGGAGTTGTGGTTGCACTCAACGAGAGGGTTTCTTTGTTGCCGTGTGGGGTCGCGACTCCCACAAGGCTTTTCTCCACCTAGTGGGATCGTGGGTTTCGGCGGGTTTTTCGACCTCAGTGCACTTTTTTTGTGCTTGGTGATGCGGTCAAGATTGACACCTCTATGAGAAGGTTGGGCCTACATGGGTGGGATTGTCAGTGTGCTTTGGGAGTCCCAAAGGTTTGACCTGTTTCGTGTTGCAGTTTGGACGCATGTGTGTTTGTTCGACATGAGTGAGATACTGCTTGCATTGCGGGACGGTCTTGTCGCAGTTCGGGCTGGGAACACCGTAGGGCTTGAGTTAAGTCTCGCTTTTCGCAGAGAGGCAGACCAGGGGCAGAAAGCAGCGTATTTTTCATAGAATCAGTTTTTCTTTTTTGAGGGGGAGGAGGGTGGGTGGGGGGCTAAATTGAAAGGTTCACAGAGTTCGCTTGCTTGTGGAAGGGGGAAATTGAGTTTTGTAGTAAAGCCAGCAAAGCTGACCAGCTGCAGAACTCATCCGCGGCTGCCTCCTCCACAACTGCTTGCACACTGTGTCCGAATGCTTGGCTGAAGCCCATGATGTCTTTATGTGTCCTTATTGTACTCGTAGGGCCTGACGGCACGGGCCGGCATGGCCGGCAGGACATGAACTCTAAGCCTGACCCCTAAGCCGTACGTGCTCTGCACTCCCCGGCGCGGTACGCGAGCATCAGCAGCATCATTGTCACCGTTGGTGTTTCCTTTCCGTTGCCCTGCGGTCTTTGAGACCGGTTAGGGGCGACACCAGAGCCATGTGCCGGAGCATCATCGACATGATTGGAGCTTCTTTTCCCTCGTGGAGACTTTCACGCTGTGCCGCCCTGAAGTTTGCGCAATTTCATGTGACGACAACATCCCAGGGACGCTCCAGGCCGCCCCTGTAAGCGCCCGAAAGGGTGCCCCTGATGCTCATGATGCGCTCCCGCCACGGCTTCCACAAAACATGGAAAACCACACACCATGCCGTGGGGGGAACCTCATCGGAGCTGCTTCGAAGATGGGCGCGCACACACCCCCCTGAAGGGAAACATAGCGTCCGGTGATGTCCAGGGATGCGGGGCCGTGCGCCCTGTGGGTCCTCGCCTCAAGCGAGCTGCAGCTTGCAAGCCAAACTTTAGCAATGGGGCAGCATCCGGAGAGCATAATGAGCACGCTGTGGCGCCAGCAGCGGCCGGCGCGAGGCGATGTTTTGCCAATTTTGGAGGAGGTTGCGGAACCAGCCAAAGGGCGCATCACCAGCATCAGCGGGGTTCGGCGGAGGGGGGTGTGTGTGGAGTTGATCCGGGCTGCTACCTTGCGCTGCCCGCCACCACTAGAACCTTTACTTAGCGCGCTTGCGCGCTGGACCACGACGGCCATGCCGGATTTAAGGGCTGCGCCAGCTGCGGGTAGCGCAAGCAACCAACAACCAGGGACCTTTCGCACATATTTTGAATCCCATCAAAGCGACCCAACAGTGCGCATCATGAGCATCAGAGGAGGGCCGCTCGTCCTCCAAGACAGGGTTTTTAACATAGTCTTCCGCACTTTGACCGCCACAGCTCACCACAGACCCCCGCTCCCCCACAAGCCCCACCCATGTGCACGAAAAGCCACAAAAAAGACAGGAAAGACGCGCGATGATGCGGGTCCGAGGCGCTGTGGGGCCTGGGGTTGGGCTTGTGCTTCTGGAACTGGACTGCGGGCGGTTGGTGGGCGCTGTGTTGGGCTTGTCCTGAACTCCTGAAACTAGACTGTGTGCTAATTATTGCTGGGCTTGGCGTTGGGGGCGTTAGGGGCCTGAGCGGCTTGAGCTTCCTAAACACTGAGGGAGCTTGCACTTTCAGCGTGTACATAACTTAAGTGAACGGCTCCTGCGTTATGCCTTTTTGGCTTGCGCACAATCTTTTGCCAATGAGCTTTATGCATGGCTGCACTCTGGATTTTTTCTGTGGAGAGTTATGTTATGAAGTGAAGCCACACCAGAGAACATTTGCCGTGTGCGGTTCGGACCTCATCTGGGGTGGGTAAGTGGAAGAGGAGTGCGAGGAGATCATGAGCAGGATCGGTTTCTTCGGAAGAGGCAAACACAGCTTCGCCGGCGCCGCCCCCAGAGAGGGTCGGCGGATATGTTTTCGCATCTTTATTCATCTTTGTTGTTTTATTTGTCTTTCTTTCAATTTCTGTAGCATTGAAAATACGTGCCAATGTGTGTCCTGATGGGGCCAGTAATAGGTGCCAATGTGTGCCCGAGTTGCCTGTTCGTCTGCATTCTGCCTACGACGGAAGAAAGGGGGCCAATCGTGCACTATGAACAAAGTTGTTTTTTTTTGCATGCTGTTGTGGGGCTTTACCATGCCCTGCAACCCGTTTGCTCATGCAGGCCATGCCCAGCGCCTGTATACAAGTTCCGATTAGAAGTATGTCGAGCTTCTTCCCACAAAAGCTCGCATGAGCAGATTAACAGTTCTAGAAGTCAAGCGATGGCAAGCCAGACTAGGCAGGAGACCCTCGCAAACCTTGGACAGAAACCTGCATGCCTTTCCTCAGCGGCTGGCGTGGATGAAGTGGCGGACGGGTAAGAGCAGACGGGAGGGCAAAGTGCATTCAGCCACCTTCGCATCACCAAGGACCAGCAACCTTTTCCAGGTCGCACAAAACCTTGAAGCAGCCGTCAATTCTCAGGCTGGGGATAGCTGTCCTGAGCGCTTTGCGGTCCAGGAACCGAGGGTCATAGGCACAGTGCGGCACTTCGCGGACTGTGAAGATCTTTGAAAGGAAGTTGTTGAGCTGATGGGCTTATGAGTGCAAGTCCACGCAACAACAGTTCGAAGGTGCCCATCCCCCAGGAATTCCTGGCCACAGTGCACCTTTGGATGAAATCAAGAGCGCAGCTAGCGGCTCAGACAATCTCGAAGACAGATGCTCAGTTTATCTGCAGCAATCTGTGTCAGGACTGAAAGTGGCTTGTCGCAGATGCAGCTCGCACAATTCATTGGTGCTTCATCCTTCAACAATCAGGCATGCTTTTGCCCGGGTCAAGGGGTGATTCAGTGTGCATGTGGTGCATGGCATGAATTCGCCAGGTGCAGGCCAATGTGCAGATGCTTGCGCAGACACCGCCAGCACCAGCATCACCACCACCGCCACCGCCACCGCCTGCATCTCCGCCTCCCGCCTCTCCTCCTCTTGCAGGGTCTCCCCTGCCGGCATCGCCGCCACTGCCCATGTCGGCTCCGGCTTCAGCCCCTCTCCCAGCATCTCCAATGTTCATACCCTCGCCACCGCTTCCAACCTCTCCAATGTACGTGGAGTCGCCGCTCATGGATGGTGCCCGCGACCTACGGCGGCCAGCGGAGCCCTCCCAGGGGCCTAAAGGGTCCAAAGGTCCCGGAGACCGCCGCCCGGCAGAGCCCGCGAAGCCGCCTGGCACGGAAGCACGAGACAGTCGCCGACCCGCGGAACCGGATCTGCCACCACGGAGACGACATCCGCTTCCCCCGCCGCCATCTTCGCCGCCCGGCTCCCAGATGAAGGGACACAGCGGAATCCGCAAATGAGCAGCCGTGCCCTTTCAGGTTCGGCTCGGCCGCCGGCAGCTCGAGCTATCTGGGCTCCGCACATATTGCGCCATGCGGGCCTGTTTGAGGGCCACGTGCAGCAATAAGTGAATAATTAATTATCAGCGCAAGCAAGTACATAACGAGTTTTAACAAATTCAGTACAGAAGTAAGCAAGTAGAAGAGAGAGAGAGGGATAGAGAGAGACGGAGAGAGAGAGAGAGAGTCCAGTGCAATAGGGAGCAGCACTGTCGCCATGTACACGCTTCCGTCAGCGCAAGTGAGTGCTCAAACCGTGCGCACCGGGACACGTGTGATCCTGGGGCACCATGCATAAAGGGTTCGCAGCAGCAGCCCTAGCACTGGCCCTCGCCTGGCATGCAGCAGCGTCTGTGAGTAAGACCAGGGAGACCACTCCACCGAGGCCCCCCACACCAGCAGGACAACCAAGAACAGGGGCCGGACCCCTGCCAGCTGCAACGACAGCGGGGGGACAGGCAGCAGCACAAGGAGAAGGAACCCCAACAGGGGCGGCGGCGCTACCACACACGCCTGGCAGCCTGCGGGGACAACACTGGCAGTGCAGCAGCACGAGGAGACAGCACCGTCGACGCCGCACCAGCCGCACGTCCAGCCCCAGCAAGGACACCAAGCACCAGCAGCAGACGCACCGCAGCAAGATGAAGATGAGGAGGAGCCGCACATACCAACCCAGTTGCAGCCACCACAGGAGCCGCAGCAGCAACAAGCCGGCTACACAACGGACATCCACTGGCAGCATGGCCCGCTATCCCATCAGGGGAACACGCCGCCACACCAGGAGAGACGATACAGTCACCCGGAGCAGGGGGAGACCGGGGGATACAGGGAGGCTACGCCGCCCAGACGACCCAAGGACACCTACGGCTACTACGCACCAGTATACGACCCTGACACGGACCCCTGGCACCCAGAAGGACAACAAGAGGGGCTGGCCAACGCCCAGGAGCCCCATCCAGCAGAGGACGCCGCCACGCCGAACCACGCGCAGCAGGCCCAACAGCATACATACATGGTCCCACCGGGCACCAACCACTGGGGGTACACCCTCACCTACTATCCGCCGTCAAGAGCAACAGCAGCTCACCCGGAGCCTATGGTGCCAAGCCAACACACGACCGGGGGAGTTTTTCGGAAGGGAGAAGAACCACAGATGCAGACCACGCCAAGCAGCAGGAGCGCAGCACAAAGCACCCCGTGCGGGGGAACCACGCCACCACAAGCGGCAGCGGCAGCGGGAGCTGCAGAGGAGCCACAAAGGCAAGCCACACTAAACAGCAGAGGCACGGCACACAGCACCCCGAGCGGGGGAACAACGCCATCACAACCAGCAGCGGCAGCAGGAGCTGCAGACCAACAGCTGGAGGGGACGCAGGCGGCAGCAACGACCGGGGAACATACGGCAACCGCCATCGCCCCAGCAAACCGCAACAGGTGGGGGCGCACTCTTCAGCAAAGGCAACAACAGGAAGGGCACCCAGCGTGCGAACCGCCGCCCTCCCGCCTGCAGTCTCAAGGCCGAGACACCCCGCAGCAAGCGCAGCCACAAACACAACAGCACTACGGCACCACGCGCCAGGGCCACCAAGGAGCGGTACCAACGCTTCACATCACGTCACAGCCGCAACCGCAACCGTCTGAGCACCCAGCCAGCAGCTCCAGCACAGCCCAATACCAGCAGCCGCAGCAGGGCGAGGTCCCACCGCTAGAGGAGCAGCAGGGGCAAGGAGAAACGGGACCCAGAAAGCCTTACCATGAAGGGGGAGGCGACCAGCGCATGCGGGGGAAACGGTACAAAGCCGCAGTGCAAATGGCGTACCGGCAAAGGGGGTGGCAAAAAGCTGACGACGAGCAGTGGAGGGACCTGGGACCAGCAGTAGGCCTCCATGAGGATGATGACGAGGAAGAATGGGCCAGAGTGCTACGCAGGGCCGAGAAGGCCGAGGTCCAGGGGAGCAGGGGGACAAGCACACACGCAGCGGCAACCACAAGCACCCCCCCGTGGCCTAGACGACTGGACAGACCTGCTCAACAAGCACCTCCTGCCACGAGACTACGCCGACACACCAGCCCACACCGACACAGCGGCAGCGCATCCAGAGCAAAACCCCCGCAACCACAGACAAGGCGGGGGACCCGCCACACAGGCAGCAGGAGGAGCACCCAGCGATCCTAGAAGGCGAAGAGCAGGCGGGGGGTCCAGCACAACCGCAGCGGCAGCACCCGAAGACACCGGCCACCTTAACATGGAGGGCACCATCAACACGCTGCTGCTGAGCATGGGCACGGGCCCCAGGCCTCTGACCGCCCCACCAGAGATACCGATAGCCTCAGGCGTGCACCTCCACATGCGAGCAGGACCGCACGGCATATGGGCTGGAGTGACCATGCCGGAGGGGGCTCACCACCATCCCATGTACCAGCAACGAGTGCGAGCTTATACCAGAGCAAGACAGCAGCTACGAGAAGAGGGGGAACCGCCTTCGGCCTACATAGGCTACAACACAGCCGTCGCTCTCCTACCGTGGGGGACCATCACGGAAGGATCCCCGGAGAAGTGGTTGATGATCATCACGGCTCTGGGCAGGCAAGTCGACGAGGACGCGGCGCCACTACAAGCTGGGGACATGTACCTGTTGGAGTGGAACCCGCGCACAGGCAGATGGCACCCGGGGAGGCTCCCGCGCAAGATTGGGATCCAATACTACTATGACTGGAGCAGGCAGATGGGGACCAACCCGATACGAAGCCCACCGCCGACCACACAGACATATCCCATCGGACAGTGGGAGCAGCTGGCACTGAACCTCATCCCTCCTCCACCCTTCGCGCATGAGGGGGGACCAGTGCCCAGAGGACCCGCAGGAGCACCAGAGCCACACCATGCCCCAGGGGGGCCCAAACCCAGCACCACAGCCAAGGAGCCCCGCGCCAGGACCGACACCACAGAGGGGCCCAGCAGAAGGACAAGCAACGCCCAGGCAGAGACAAGCAGCCACGACGCAGCTAGATGGTAGCCAAGTAGAGCCAGAAGACGTGAGCCATGGAGCCGTGCCGGGCAGCTCTACCGACGAGAGGCCAATGATGAGGGGGGAAGCTATGCCGCAAGAACAAGCTCGAATGAGACGATGGTTAAGGGAGCTGGTGGCACTGACGTACCAGTTGGGGCTCCCGACAGCCATGGCCGACGCGGTGGAGCAGACCCTGGCAATAGTGACCTCGCCGGGGGCCGGCGGGGGACTAACGCTGCGAAGCAACGCTGTACGGGGCACAAAGCGCCGACGCACCAACAACCCACTGCGGGAAGCGGCGCGAGCCATTGGGGACATGTGCGAAGAGGACGGGCAAGATGCGCCCAACCAACACCAGATCTACATCGACCTGAAGATGATTCGGGACTACTTGCACGTGGGGGAGCAAAAGTACAGGCAGGCCTCGGAGCAACAAGGGGGCCAGCAAGTGCTTCTTGGGGCAGGGGGGCTAGCGCAGGCAAGCAACGCGGTGCATGCAGCGATGGCCGCCACCACAGAAGGGAACCTGGACTGGCTGGTGGAGGGCTGGGGGCAAGCAGTCATAGCCGTGCTTGAAGACGCCATGCTCCTCCTCGACGACCTGGACCAGACGGGCTTTGCGCACGCAGCGGACGTGCTTGCACTACAGGAGGGAGCAGAAGAAGCGCCGACGAGACCAAAGGGGGGACTACAAAGACTGGAAGCAGTGCTGGAAGATGTGCGGAACAGCATGGGGTTCATCACCGAGGGCTACGCGGAGGTCAGGGGGCTGTTGTCGCTCTTTGTCAGTTGGCAACATTCGCGAGGGGGACAGCCTGTGAATGTGGACACCCAGACTACAGAAGAAGGAGACGGGGGTCCACAACAGTCCCTCTTTGGAGGGGGGCCGTCGCTTCAGCCACAAGAAGAAGAAGCAGCCTGGAGGCCACAGCTGGGGGCCCCGCAATGGTCTGGCAGCATTCCCAGCTCGGGGGATGAACACACCGGGGGGCCGCAACCACCGGAGGAAGCAGAACCAACAGACGACGACTTGATCCAGGCCATGGAGGAGTTCGAGAGGGAACAAGAAGAAGCCCTTGCAGCAGAAGCACAGCGAGACGCTAGCCCGTGGGGAACGAGTCCAACTGAGGGGGCTACAAGTGAGCGAGAGCACCGTCGTAGGCGAATGCACGCAGCACAAGAGGGGGACATGTAGCACTGTTAGCGATAGGGGTTGCAATGCCTCTTTTACCTCTCTTTTACGTCACTTCTAGGGGGAAAAGCAACAACATGTCCTCGTACAGTGCAGCCTGCTGAGGTAGGAGAATAAGAGGCTGGCAGTAGACGCAGTGGGGGTTGCAGGTTCCTTTGATGTAGTAAGGGGGCATTCGTTGCGCAGTGGTGCAGTTTGGTGTTCGGCCGGAGCCTCAGAGTGTTTTGCAGTCTCACAGAACAGGCCAACGGCAACGAGAGCATGGGGGGCCGCTGATGTTGAGTCATGAGTGTGTGCATTGGTGCAGTTGTTGTGCGTGGGGAGCCACCCAGCTCAATGGAGAGTTGCAATAGCAGCAATACGCTGCGTGTTGGCGTACAGAGCCTGCAACAGGCTGTGATGAGGCCGGGGGTCAATGTAGGTGTAGGGGGATCAACGGTTCACAAGCGCGGCCTCATCGGGTAGTAAAGTCTTACACAGACAAACAACAACCAGGGCGCGTTCGCGCGCGAGGAGAGCGCCCTTGCTCTCCTTTGGCTGTGCAGAAGAAGAGCTACTGTCACAATCTTCCCAATGCCTGCCCGGAAAATTTAACAGATCCCCTATGATAGGGCTCCTATGCCCAATGGAAGAAGAGAGATAGAGAGAGAGAGAGAGAGAGAGAGAGAGAGAGCCACACAGCCGCACCCACCCACGCCACAAGGGAAAGCACAGACCTTCTACCCACACTGGCACCCAGACCGACAAGACAGCCACCAACCACAACAGCCGGCAGCTCAAGGCGCTACCCAGCAGCTACCGCAACCAGACCCACAAGCAACAGGAGA